AGCTAAGGGCGGCTCGGACTCCTCTCATCCTCAGCCCAGCTCTGCCTTCCTCTTCCTCTTCCAAGCAGTGTGGCCACATCCCAGTCGCCCCTTGGGAACAGTTCCTGGCATGAGCCAATTTGTCCTGTGCCCAGGCATTGTCCAGCTGCTGGCACGGTCAGAGCTGTGCCGCAGACTCCAGCAGCAGCTTCGCTGTGGGTGACCGAGCTCCAGCGCCCAGGAACGTCCCTGACCCTGCTCAGCTGACTGTGCCAGGCAGCTCCGCATGCCCAAGGGAGCGCTTCCCCAGTCCTAAGGGCTCCTCGCCTGCGGGGAAAGCCAGGCCCAGCCTGGTTCCTGCGGTGGGGCTTCTCCCAGGGCTGCCGTGCTGAGGGAGGAGAGTAGGGAAGGGATGTGCCAGCGCAGCCCTCTGTGCCGTCACCCTTGGTTTTACCACAAACCACAGTGTTGCCCGATGGAGAGCGATAATGGGGAAACTGCATGGACCTGCTCGGTGCTGCAGTCCTGCAGAAAACAAAATGAAGTGACAGCCGGAGGCTGACCGGTAGCTGAGCTGCAGCAAAGCTACTGCGGCACCATCTCCCCAGGCTTCCTATGCGCACCACGTGCGGGCTCAAGGGGACAGGCAGAGAGCCCAGGTTTCCCAAGGGCACGCAGTTTTGCGATGCACAGAGAACAGGTAAGGAGGTCCCGCAGGGCAGGGCAGGTGGCTGCTCGCTGAGCGCTTCATTTCTGCATTAGTCTTGTTTATTTGCGGTGGCCACCGGCCCAGAGAGAGGAAAGGGGGGGTGCTCTGCCTCTCCCTCTTGGCTCGAGGGGGCTGAGCACCAGGCCTTCCACCGGCAGCGAGAGGAAGGGTCCAGCCTTGGATGCAGGCTCTGCCGAGAGCGGCTTTGACCGCTGGCTGCTGGGAGGTCGCTGCTGGGCCTTGCCTGCGCATCCGTGCGTCCCTGTGCTGTCCCTGCTGCCTCGGCTGCTCCGCCGCCTGCGGGTGGTGGGAGTGGTTAGAGGGGAGGAAGAAGAGGGAAGTTCCCCAGCCTCTTCCCCTGGGTTTCTGCTCACCCTGCATCTTGCCTGCCGGCCTCCCTGCTGTGCTGGTTGCTGAGCTGAGACCACAGTTGGGTCTGCGGGACGAGCTGGGGAAGAGAAGAGGGGGTGAAACTTCCCCCCACACTCACCTCTAGTCCCACCCCTCGGCCTCTGCCCTGGGCAGCTGTCACCGCTGAGCTGGTAGCAGTGGCACTTTGGTACGATGGCTGCGGCGGGGTTGATGTAAAGGAGCTGGGAACCAGCCCCAGGTACCTCGGCCAAGCAGCTTTCCCTGCAAACACTGGTTAAACGAGACTCATCTCCCAGTGGCACAGGAGCCCAGGGCCTGGCCCCAATAGGGTAGGCACACCCCAAAAACATGGAGGTGGTCTAAGCCTAACAGGGCTGAGCTGGAGTGATTGACCCAGGAGAAGGGGGCTGCAGCAGCCCTGTGCCTGCACTGGGCAGGCAAGGCTGGTCCAGTGGCAGCTCACAAGGTGATAAGGTGAGCCCAGCGCTGCCTTGCCTGTGCGATTTGCTCCCAGGGAGCTGCAGCCTGGCACAGGGAGCTGCAGCCCGGCCCAGGGATCGTGCCAGAGTGGGTCTGGGTCTGGCCAGCGGCGGCTGTGAGCTGCAGGCACCGTGTGTGCTGCAGTGCCCCAGCATCGGCTTGGCAGCTCTGGCTCAGAAAGCATCAGATAGGAGCACCTGGTTCATCTGCCTCGAGGCTGAAAAGGGCTCCTTGAAGGCAGGATCAGGCCCTGGGACAGCAAAGAATCCCTGCCCAGCTTCATGCCCTCCTGGATGTGGCTTTGTCCAGCTCAGCCCCATGCTGGCTTGGGAAGCAGCTGCGGAGTCACAGGGGACTTTGCATGAAATGTCCCATGGCTTGCTACCCAGAGCCTTTTCTGCAAGGGTGCACAACCAGGCAGCCAGTCCCCAGAGGATGGGGGACAGTGCCAGGGGCTGTGGGGTGGTCTTGGGGTACGCAGCACCCCGCTGGCATGCGCGCCCCTCCTCCCAGTGGCACCCAGCTCGCCCTGGCTTGGGTGCAGCCTCACCTTCAGCACGCCCTGCTCAGCAGCCACCTTCACCTTGGCCAGCGCAGACCCAAGACGAGCATTCTCCTGCTCCAGCACACTGATCCGGATGTTATTGGCCTGCAGCTGCTTCTCCATGTCCTCCATCAAGCTTCCAGTGCCTGCAAACAAAATACAATGTCCTTGCAGCAGGAGCCAGAGCTCAGCCCGCTGCTGTGTGCCTGCTCAGAAAGGAGCCTGCCCCAACCAGGGAGCACCAGCAGGACTGAGCCCTTCCTGGCTCTTAGTGGGATAAACGGTGGTATACAAATAATGCTGGTACATCTGGAGCTGGCAGGATCCCTGGAAAACTCTGGGAGACCCCGGAGGCACAAGCCCACTGTGGCAAAAGCAGGCGCTGCTGCCCGCCCCCTTACTTTCAAACTGCGTCTCGGCAGGGATGTGGAGCTCGGGGAAGAACACCAGGAGCCTCTCCCGCTCCTTCAGCTCCTGCGCCTGCTCCTCCAGCCTGGAGATGTTCACCTGCAGCTCTGAGACAGACTGCTCCAGGTTCAGCTTCTCCTGCTGCAGCTTGTCCAGCAGCTCCTGTGGAGCACGGCAGGGAGGTGGTGAGGTTTGCAGAGTCCTCTCCCAAACCTCAGGACGGTACACTCTGGGGGAGTCCCATGGGAGTACTTGGGCACCCATCCAAGCAAAGCTCCCTCCCTTTCCTTAGGCGACAAGGATGTCCCGCAGCAGCATGATGAATTGCAGGGCCTGAGCTGTAAGGTCCCTGTGTGAGTTGGAAGCAACAGCACCGACCGTGAAATGCAGCGCATGTCCAAGAACAGGCACGCTGGAGAGAGGGGAGAAAGGTCTTCCCCAGGGGGTCACAGGTGGAGATGGCCACGGGCAATGTCACATCGGGTCCCAGAGTCCCCCTCCTGGGAAACCTCTGGCTATGGGTGTGGAAAGGGGCAGTGGGTGGTTCCTGATGCCCCACAGCACAGCTGTGTCCTGCGGCAGCTGCCCCCCAGGGACCCCGCTCCCGGCAGCCCCTTGGTGCGTGCTGACTGCCAGCACTGACCTGCTGCAACTGCAGCTGCTGCCCGCTCTGCTCCTGGCTCTCCTCCAGCTGCTCCGCCAGCCTGGCCTTGTCCTCCTCGGCCTTGCACAGGCTGGCTTGCAGCTCCTCGCGCTCCTGGTCCAGGCTGTCAAGCTGCTGCAGCAGGGCCCTCTGCTTGGCCTGCAGGGACTGAACAGGGCAGGCGAGCCTGCACAGGGCCTGCTGCACCCACTCACCACTGCCCTTACACCGGGCAGCAGCATCCACAAGCTCAGCCCGCTCCCACAGCATGCTGTGGGGCTGCAGAGCAGGGGACAGCGGGCCCCGGCCATACCTCCTGGTGCCTCAGCACGCTCTCCACTTTGGCCTTCTCCTTCTCCAGCTGTGTGGTGGTGGCACTCAGCTGCTGGCCCAGGCTTTCCCGCTGGCCGGTGAGCAGCTGCACCTTCTCCTCCAGCTCCAGCACCTGGCTCCTGGCCCCCATCATGGTCCTCATCTCCTCCAGCAAGTTTGTCTTGGTCACCTCTGGGGAAACACAGCACCTTTGGCCCATGATCGGCAGGAGGGGGAGAAGCTCCCAGATAAGGTGTCCTGAGGGGGTCCCACACCTTCCACAGGCCCTGGAGAGGGGGAAGAAGGTCTGATGGGAGGGCTGCGACCCCCTAAATCTCCACCAGCACAAGCCCACTTGGGTGCTGGGTGATGTTTGGGCACTGAAACGAAGGAGGGTCATCCTCCTGCCCATCCCCACCAGCGCTACACCCAACCAATTCTGGGGGAGCCGGGAGCTACGTGGGTGTAAAAAGATCAGAGCGAGGCTCAGGGAGAGATGCGCCAGCGGGGTGAGCCCCAGGGTCCTTACCCAGCTCCTGCACAGCAGCCTGCTTCGCAGCCAGCTCCTCCTTCAAGGCGGAGAGTCGCTCTTCCAGCAGAGCAGCTCCTAAATCAGCACAAAAACACTACTGAACATTAAACAGCTCCTCAAAGAAACTAAAACAAGGAGGCAGCAAATGACCGCACCGAAGCATTTTTCATCCAGTGACTGTAGCGTGCTGTGCTTGACCAGGGAGGAGGCAGTGAGAGGACGTGGACAACCAGCTCCCGCTGCCTGGGGTTAGTCTCACAGCGGGGAGCAGCCCTGGCACCTACCAAAATCAGTGGCAAAAGCTGTGCTCATGGTGGTGGGACCAAGATTTGACAATAGACACCGTGCTTCTCCTGCAAATACCCATGTGCCTGGGAAGGGATGCTGGGAACGGCGCTGTACCTCTCCGTAGGTCGTCCTTGTCCCGCTCCAGCCTGGCCACAGCCTCTAAATACTCTTTGTTCTTTAATTCCAGGTTCTGCTCAGCCTCCTTCCTCTGCTGCGCTTGGGTCTCCTTCTCAGCCTGAAGCAACCGGGAAAAGTCCTCAATCTGTTTCCGCAGCTTGTCCTTCTGTTTTTCTGACTCTTCCAGCTCAGACTTCAGAGGGTTGACCTGCTGCAGCAGCATCTGGAGGTGTTTGCTGATCCGGGAGAGGTCCTTGCTCTGCTCCGAAGCCCAGTAGCTCATGTCCGTTGCAGAGAGGGTCAGTCTCCCTGTGGTCTCCTCCACTGTCTCCTGGAACCTCCTGAGAGCTGAGGGGATGTTCTGGCTCTGGCAGATGCTGATGATGGCTTCACCGACCTTGCGGATGCTGATCTGGGCGCTGGTGCAGGTGTCACAGGGTCCCAGAGATGACCCAGTCGTCTGCGTGGGGATGCTGCGGCAGCTCTTGGCCACGCTGCAGGCAGGCCTGGGCAGGGAGCTGCATGAGGTGTCACTGTCTGGCACACGGACACCCGATGATGGGCACAGAGAAGTGGACTGGGCAACTTCTGTGGATGCTCTCAAATCCAAAGCAGTAGGTGAGCAGCGTTTCAGGCGCTCCTCCTTAGGTTTCCCAGCCTGAGGAGTGGATCGCAGTGTGGAGATTTCCTTCCTGCAAGCCTTCTTCTAGTGGAGACAGCACAGAACAACAGGGCCCAGATCAAACAGAGTCAGCTGCAAATGATCCATAAGACCCCAAATACAGAGGTGTGAAGTGTGGGGACAGGACATCAGTGCAGCCATGGGGCTATGAGGGCAGCGAGCTCCTCTCTTGGGAGGAGGGACATTTCCAGAGCTTGGAGGAGGACAGCTACCAAGCGCTCGGGTTCCCCGTTTACTGTGCTCCATTACAACCAAAGCACGTGGCTAACAAGCAAAATGACTTTGCTTCCCACTCCCTGGTGCGAGGTACAGGGGAACTGAATTTTTACAAGCTGCCAGGCAGCTTTCCAGCCACTGCTGTTGGAGCTGTGGTTTCGCAGCAGGAAGCCTCGGCAGTGAACCCTGCTCCCCAGCTCCCCTTCTTGTGACCGCCCCTTCTTTCACACCTCTTGTGCTGTCTCCTGGTTATGCCAGATGAATTATTGTGTGACTTTGCCACGAAAGGGATCATTTTGGAGAGGAAAAAAAAATATGCATGGGAGTGTTGTAGCATTTTTACCACAAATTATTTCACTGATTTGAGCCAGCTCAGCCCCAAAAACGGTGGGGTCAGCAGAGCCACAGGGGCAGCACGTTGGCAGGGGGAAAATATTTTTCCAAGCAATAAAGGCAGCCAAGCTTGCCCATCCTGAGATCCTAGTGGGGGCCTGTGGGAGGATGGATTCAGCGGCACTGCTGGGAGCGGTGCTTAAAGGAGGGAAGGGACTCGGGCTGGGAGGGGACAGTGTGGGACAGATGTGTCCTGCCTGACACACGGGTCAGCACTCGCAGGGTCATGAGCCAGAAGCACATCTGGTGTGGCCACTGTGCGTGTCACAGGGCTTCCCAGAGAAGGACCATGACCTCAGCATGGTCCAAATCATGGGGCGTGAGGCAAGGGCCACTTCTGTGAACCCTGCACTCAGCTCATGCGGCGTCAGTGCCCCCAAATGTCCCACCTCAGCCAGGAGCTGCTGGTAGAAGGTCCCCAGTTTCAGCATGCTGCACCAGTACCTCCTTGCTGTCAGCCCTGCAGACATGCAGGGTCCCACTGCCTGTGTTGGGGGGATGGTTCTCTCGCTGAGCAGGTTTTCTGCGTAGCCCGTGAAGCTCTGAAGCAGCAGCAGCAGTCTTTTTCAACAGAAATGAAACACAGCTTAGAGCAACAGAGTATTTGGAATGGGGAAAGGGCCCTTGGCATTTAACAGAGCAGTGAGCCTGAAGGGACAGCGCCAAGATTGTGCCCTCTCCCTTTCCCCTGGACAAAGCGAGTTTGGCAAAGGAGGGTGGATATCAGCACTCCTGTGACCCCCCTAGGCCTGAATCACTCCACGGAGCAGTATTTGGTGGGATGAAAATCCTCCTGCAGTTGCTGGGACACAGGCTGCACATGCTGCTTGTAGCCAGCCACTTCAAAGAGGCTACAGTTTGGCTCTCCCAAAAGATCTGGGGCACACACACTGCCAATATCAAACTCTAATTGTTAGGGCCAACAGCACTGCAGGAATGGCTCATCTGCCATTTTTAAAAAACAGCGTCAGATTTATTTCACTCAGATTGCAAAAGGCCCTTTTGCCTCCCAGGCCTGTAGGCACAGCTGTGTCTGAGTGTTTCCAAGGCTTCGGGGGGCAATTTAACAAGCTTGTCCCCATCTGGCCAGGTGCCCTCAGCTCCCGGGCAGAGCAGCGCCTTGCTCTGCTCCTTTGGTGGCCAGCATTTGTGCTGGTAGCTCTGTGCAGGGAAAGGGGTTGGGTTTTAAAACTCAGAGTAGAGCTGCGGAGCATGAGGTTGCAGTGCCGGCACACTGCTTATCGTGGAAGCATGTGCGGAAAAAGTATCCAAAACACTCAGCAGGCTGGACATGCAATCATGCCCTTTCCTCCCGGGGGGAAGGAGCC